ATATTCGTTAATCTCTTTCTCTCTCTCTCATCCATTAAACATTAAAGCTTAAGTTTTAAATAAATAATTACATCTTGTAGTATGTTTCCAAATTGCAAAAGGGTAAAAAGCAATAAATCTTAATTTAAGTGAAATAAACTTTAAATTAAAAGCTTATGTTTTTTTTTTACTTATTCTAATAATTATTTTAATCGCCAGAAAGCAAATATTCTTCTTTATTTAATCACTATTTTCTGTTAGCTGTCCTTTTGTAACTTTAAAACAATTAACTTTTCAGTTCCTCTTATCTATTCAACGTAATAAAATCGTCGATAGGTTTACTCAAATTGAGAAATGTACTATGTGTGTATATATACTATACAGTATATACTCTCTGTGATATATATATATATATATATATGTAGCACAATACGCGCTATCTCTACAAACGCACATAAAGGTATCGAAAATTACATTGAAAGCTTTATGTCTTTATGTAATATAGGTACAAATCAAAAATTGTTTCTCTTGTTCTTTCATTTCTTTTAAGTCACGTTATTAATATCAAGGAAAAGAAAGAAAGGTATCCAATTAAAGATAGAGTCGAATTATACGAAACTCCTTTCTTCCGCTAGGATTTAATAAAACTGAATAATGCATTGCTTACTTTTTAACTTATCACGGCATTCATTTCCGCTCCTTCAGAAACGGCGGTTCCCTGAGGAAGCATTTCTTATTGTTAGGGCCTTGAATAGAAAGATTACGATCGAGAAGCAGAATGTAAGTGCATCAATCGTTAATTTAAACCAAGTGCTCAAGCATCCCGTGCAATTTTCACAGAAAGTTAATCTCTATTTGCCTGCATAAGGATAAATTATCGAATTTATGTATAAATCAACAAGACATATTTGAAATTTTCAAATGACTTTAATCGTCTGACATTTTCAGAACTTTCATGAAATGCTATAACGTGACGTTCTCTATCAATCCTATTATTCTCAAATAACTGTCAAGAGTGCAATTTTTCGAAAACAAATACGTATGATATGGTATATAGAAATACATAAAAGAAGGAATATAACACAACACGCACACATAGTTTCAATGAAATATGACGTCGGAACAAATGATAAATCACTACGAAGGGAATGAATTTGCAGAACTTCTTTCGCCTGACTATAGGGAAATCATTTTTTTTCCATTTTCACGAAGCATTACATAGTTGTTAGCGTGTCACGTTTGACACAGTATTGATAGGCAACATAGCATAACAGGAAACTGGTGTTGAACTAACACAACAACGGTGTCATGGCTAAAAAAGTATTTGCTATGCATTTTTACTCAAGTGTTTTATCATCTATCATATTTTACACACTTTCCAATAATATTATGTATTCTGATTGCATATAATTTGTAAACTTTATCAATAATTTTAGAAAAAAAGAACAAAAGTTGACAAATTATAGAAATAAAAATATTCTATTCAATTTTAAATATCTAAATATATATATATAATCATATTTTTATAATCATAAAAGTCATTAAATGAGAAATTTAAATTATCATTTTCAATAATCATTTCTTCACTGCAACATTATTACACGGACGACCTAATTATTAAGTAGACTATAAGAAAATTACCAAACAATAAACTACGCGACCCGTAAAATATCACGTGGCAAAACCACGTAAATAATATATATGGTAAATATTTTTATAAAGCATACACGTCCGCTTTTAAACGCATCTCTTTCACTTTTGCATCTCTTTCCTTTCCATTTTTTAAAATTCCACGGAAAACGGTAACCCCGCAGTTACACTATACAACCACTCGGTGACCACCGATCTTTAATACGCGAAAAATTCCACGCATATTCTGCTGCTAGATATATTTTCATAAAACGCGGTTAGTGAAGAAAAATTTTGATATTCTTTGCCAAGTAACGATTTTCGTTTGCGCTATCAGTCACGAGAGACACGAATTCAAAGTCAGAAAGCGAGAGGGGGAGATACAATCCTCCTAGGAAAAATAATTTTACACGCAATCACACAATGGCACGTGTACCCCCGGTAGATTTCCATATAAATCTTACGAAATGTCGGTGGAATGACGATATTTTTACTGATGGAAAGAGGGCCACGCAATTCGAGCGCAATTACCCCCAAAGAGCCGGCCGACGAAATACATATACTTTTAACAAACTAGCGGCCCCTCGTCGCGTAGGCTTCCACCAGAGAGAGGGGGCCCTTAGAGTCTCGATGGGGAACGTCGATCAAATCCCCGACATGCCACTCGCACCGGCTCTCTCGACAAATTCCCCGATAGCGACTTTGGCGCGTTCGACGGTATATGCCTTTTTAACGAGGCACTCCTTTTAACCCGGAATCGCGGTGATCGATGGTACGGAAGAACGGAAATGTCGATCATGATTTCGCGAGCGACACCCTAACCGGGGAAGCCCCGCATGAAAGGCGGAAAGGATCGCGTGGAAATCGTGATTCCTCACCTCGGTAAACGGCCGAGAGAGCGCGAGAAACGATATCGTGAAGGATAACTCGATGTGACGCGACGCCGCGCAGCGGTGTTTGTCATGACGTTGACGGAGAGTTGTCGGATAACGCCGACAATAGACGCGCGGATGATAAGAGAGAGAAGCTAGACGGAATAATTAACGTATAATCCGCGATGGCGTTTGATTGCTTTGCGCACCAAAAACCAGCCTTCTCGAAAACATTCCTCTTTTTTTCTCTCATCGCACACTCTCTCTCTCTCTCTCTCTCTCTTTCTGTATGTGCGTTTCCGCTTTCTGCGAAAACTGCCACCGAATTTTTCGCTTTTTACGGACGCGCACGCTCCTGTCAGATTTTGTGGAAAAAACGCTTTTACGCTCAACTAGGATAAAGTGCGTCGTGATATCGCATTGTTAAAAATTGACGCAGCCACGCCGAGCTTTGTAATGTTTGCACGTGCACAAAATGTTTTTTATTAGGGTAAAGCTAACTTCGATGACGTTCAAATGCACAGAAATTAATTTTTATTTGATACCAAATTACTCTATAGACATTTATTCTGTAAACAACAATTGGGAAATTGCGTAATTTTATATAATATCGATACCTTACTTTCGAGATTTGAGAACCAAAAAAATCCAATAACGTAAAATTTGATGTCATAAATCTTTATTAAAGAGATTCACGTTATAGAAACCTTCATAAAATCTTTACATCTATTACGAGCCTTCGACACAAATACGGTCACGAATACATCCATAGAATTCATTCAACCTAACAAACTATCTAATTAATCATCGCTTTCATACGCAGGAGAGTGACAAATTTGAGTGCAATACTGCGCGGAAGGCGATAAAACGCATCGACTCGCAAACCAGGTTACCGACCATAACGCAATTTCAGCCTTATCTCTCCCCGTGTATCGCGCATTTCGGCCTTCCTGTCGCGTCGCGACGATTCCCCGCGTCCCGCATCGCGTGCAAACAGTCCGCGAGACTTACATATTGCGGTTCGTGCCGCCTTTATCTACCTAATCCAATATTTCGTTTCGTATTTGGTGGCTGGCGGTTTTCTCCGCGATTCGCGTGGAAAACGCAAAAACGAGCTCGACGATGCATCGCGGCGTCGCTACCGACGCCGCCGTCGACGACGACGACGACACGATGCAATGCTCGCAATGTTCACTTGGCGCCGGGATAACTGATTGGATTTAACAAATGTTGTAAACGAATTTCACCGAAAGCCGCCGCGCAAATGTGCAGGGGTTATGCACCGCGAAATCGTTCTTACGTCATTCAAAATTTGATAAAGAACCCAAAATATTAATTTACAAATTCCGGACAATTCGGCTTTAGAAAAGTTCATGCACATTTTGCAAACAATTTGTAAATAAATCGAAAAATAATCAGTTTTGTCAGAATTTATAAGAAATATTAGTTTCTTCAGAAAAAAGAATGTTAGCAGTATATAATTGATTAAAAAAGAACAGTTTTTAATAAAGAAATAGATAAAATGTTTATAAAAATGTTTTCATCACATGTATTTCTATAATAATTACTGAGATCTAAAAACCCATACACGAAGAAAATTTTACAGTACGAATTATATGAAAAATACATTTCCTTTTATATTTATTGTGATGCTGGAATATAACGACATTAAATTATTTATGATTAAGATTATACTATAAAAACTAAATGCATTTTTCTATTGTTTTTAACAATTATGCATTTATTTGTGCATCAATATATTTGAATTAATTACAAAACTCCTTTGTAAAATATATATAATACTATATAATATTATTAAATAAAAATATATCGCGCGCGTAATTTCTCTTGAAAATGTTCTAAAGTCACACAAAAATTATATTATAATTTTTACTATAATATTTTCTCCGTGTATGAAAAAAACGAAGTCGAGGATTTCTGCTTCAATCTTTATAGTTCTCTCTGTTTTTGCTTGTAGTTCAAAAAAATATCTCTTTTTTTAATCAAACATAAAAATTCTTTAATCTTTTGGACATAATCCTAAGCAAAAATTTATCGAAATTGAAAATTATGGGATTTTTTTCTTCTTTTAAGAGATAAAATGTGTGTGACCTTGTATAAATCAATATCTGCTGAAATGTGATAAATATTCGCAATATTCGCGATTTTCTGTACAGATTAAAGAGCATGATTGAAGACCGACGTTGTTGCAGCAAAGCTTACGCATTACGAAGGTATCGCGTGATCGTTAAAAAAAATGCAGCGTCCCATGAAACGAGTTGTGTAGTCAGATTACGTTGCCGTGCTTTTCTCATAAAAATAGCGAGGATTCACGGCGAAAAAATCAACAGGGCAGCTGAAACTCGACTCGACTCTTTTCGAATAAAATAAATCATCGTAGTAGAAAGTAGGAAATGGAATGTGCCAAATATTACCCACCATTATTGTGATGTCGTAAAATCAAAACACGCAACGTGCAAAATAATTCATCCATATATGATATTAAATGAATTTACTCACCAGTCGATGTTTGAAAGGTTGTAAAGACCGTTTCCTCCTCGCCGATTTTGCCACCGGATACTCCTCGCGGAATACGCAGTTGATTGACGGATAACGCGCTTAAAATCCTTCGCATCAAATAATCGCTCGTCGTGTAATCGTATACGCACTCCCGATATATACTTATTGCATTTAAGACGAGTAAATAACGCGAAATACGACGAATATATCTTTACTCTATCGATCCGACATTTCGCACGACACACCCGACGAAGTATTCAAACGTACGATATTCAAGCGTCAACTTCGGACCGCTATGTAAAACTTTGATTCACGACGCGAGAAGAAATAGCTAATTTTACTCTCACCTATCTTAATTAATCCAAAGATCTCCTTGTTCATCGCTCGATTTGACGTTTCCGACACTTGTGAAACACGCGAAAATTATTCTCCACACACGAAATAAGTGCGAGCGGAGTAATGTATGCGGAGCGATCTTGCCGAGGTCTCAAACGGTAATAAACTACGCAATGTTGTGAGAGGTAACTACGCCAGTCAAAACAAGATTAATGTAAACAACATTCGTCGCGCTATCCAATGAGTCGAAGGCCAAAACTATTACTGCCTATTCATGATAATAATTGTAAATTATATATATATAATTTCCGAAATTCTTTTTACGTTGATAGAGAGAGAAAGACATAGTCCGTTAAAAATAAGTATCGCTATCTCTTTTGTTGTGTCGCCTGTCTATATTTCATTATACCCTATGGCATAGTCGAGCGGGCGCTAGTTTCTTTTAATGACTCGCGTAGTACGAAATATATCGGTGCAATCATATTATATATTCGAAGAGTATTAATGTGTACGAACATAATTTCGCACGATCAGTTTTAATATCAGGTTTCTAAAACTGGTAACAGTATACACGACAGATTTGTTTTGCTCTTTGACTTTCACCTCGCGCGGTATCGCCGGCCGTTACGCGACGCTAGTTCTTTTGTTTACTCGCGTAGTCGTCCTTCTTAGCTGTCTACGTCACAGTCTCACATTACTCGTCGCGCAGTTCGGGAGTCTCCTCGTTCGCTCCGCGTTTCGCGCGATATTTTTTCGATCGGGAGTGAGATCCGGTGTCGAACGAGCGTCGGGAGTGTCGAATCCAATGACGTACGATCGCCGTGCAGTATCTATTATCACGCACGAGTGCGATTAATAGCGTCTTTCGATATTCTCAACTCTACCTCCCCCCCCCCTCCCCCTCCGTCCGCTGCATCGCGGCAGCAAACGGGAGAGATACGTCGCATCTCGTATTTCCGTATCGTTTCTCCGGACACGGCGTCATGCGTGCGATCGAACATTGGAGATATATCACGCGGATCGGGGAATTAAGATACTATCATCCCTCGATTCGCAAAGTGCGAATATTCGCGGTTGACGAGGCCGTTGCGTTTCGCGAGTTCGGCGTGAAGTCGCCGCTGCGTCTCTTTGAATCCTTCCCCTTTATATCGCGACGCGCGCGACTTGGTCGATGTCGATAGTGCCGTGCGAAATAACGGATGTCTTTATTCGCGTTATTAATTCGTCCGCAGTATGTCGTGTGTGCGCGTTAATCCACGGAACTGTCGAATAATGTGGCAATCGGTCGTGTTTTTCCGATCGATTTACGTTGACGCGAATAATACGAGTCGGAGAAACGGTGGCGATTAGTGAGAAAACAGTGACTTGCGGCGAGGAAATATTTCGAGCCATGAAACATCCGGCGAGAAGAAGGTGAATTAGTTGGTGAGTGAATCCAGTCGTTATATTCGCGATGATCGATCATTTGCTCATTTTATCAGCGATTATTCGACGTTGTATTAATCATCCATGCTTTGATACATATTTCGCATCGATGCGTTACCTCTAATTCATATGATTTTAATTAATTAAAATTCTAATTAATGTGAATATTAATATAATGAGCGATAAAATTCAACGTTTTTTTTTTAACGAAGTAGATTTTAAGTAGCACAGATGGATACTATTATGATGCACAGTTTAATATAATTATACGTATAATTAATAACCAACAATGTTATGCTGAAATAATAATTATAGCTGATGTTATAATTATAGATATTTCATACCGTAATACGCGCACCAATAAAAAAAAAAGGAGAAAAAATCACGTACCGGTACGATTCCATGAATATTGGCAAAAATTGCAACATATTAAAGATACTTTTCTCTATTTCATGTGTGTGTGAAACATGTAAATTAATCATCGCTCATTGCAATATTTCCACAACGATGCATCACGCATCGTTATGATGTAACGATTCGTTTCGGCGTGATTCGCATATCGCATGATCAATAAAATATAACTAAAGTTACAAAACTAAATTATAAAAAATACAGCCACAGTTTTTGAGAGAGAGATAGAGAGAGATGAATTATAAATTTAATTTTAAATGCCATACCTTTTATATCTGGAATTAATAAAAGTATTATATTTGTTTTTGCATATATATTTTGGTTTTTTATTTTTGCTTTTATATATATAATTTGATAAGGCATTAACAATATATTTATTATAATAACTTGTATATTAATCAAATTCTTTTTGAATAACTATATGTGAGATTGAGTGATCATCTAATCTTCTAATTTTTTTTTATTAATTTGTTTTGTGATTTATTATATTTTAGGATTTAAAGTTAAATTTACAGCGTAGTTATTTATTACAAAAGTATCATTTATCTTAGCAAGTGTACTATACAGTTTTGCATTAATAATGAATGCGTAAATAATAAAATAATATTATGAGGAAATAATTTTCTTCAAACAAAGTTTTGAGAATAATTAATTTTTTATAAGAATATGGCACATATTTTTATTTATACATACACACGCATATTTTTGTCTATAAAATTTATTAGCGATATAATTTTAAATGAACGGATTAAAAATTCAAAGTCACATAACAAATATATTGTTAAACGATCAATAATATATTTTTTTAAATTAGTTTAGCTTGCGGTACATAAAATTTAATCAGCGATTGATTACCCTGTATAATAATACAAATGCTGATCATCGCGATATGAAATGTGAAAGAGCATTACGCACGAATGGCTATTCATTGTCAGAGTAATAAATTACACTTGCAAATGGCGTTACTTTCGATTAATCGCTCTATCGCTTCCTCAAAACTTGTTCAAATTAACAAGCGAACAAATTAACGTTTGGCTGTCCGCTAGCTGTTATGCATTTGGTCGATGTTAACTGTCGCCGTAATAAAAAGAGGAATGACGTCCCGGCGGTATATCGTGAATAATTTGCAGGAACAAATCGCGATAATGATTTTCAAAATTGCAGCTGATAAATTAAACAAGTGCATCGATCTGTCAATCATTTTGCATTGTCTCGCGCGCGGTATTGATCATCATTCATCATACGATATTTTCTCTTAATACGACTTTCCATAAAATCCTCTACAGTTTACAGTTTGATAAACGATAATAACCATAACCGACGAGAAATGATGTATCTCGAGGTCGTTGTGATCGTATATCGCCGCTCGTTAATAAAACGCAGTCTCCCAATTTTGCTTGGTAACGCCGTGAACGAACAAATCACGAAATATCGTTATTTTCCAATACGCAATCGCATATCGTGGTAATTAAATAGTCATATTCGCTAGAAAGTATAGTTGCTTTAATAAAAAAATATCTCGCTCTTTTTTTATTTTTTAGTTTGCACGTGCGTATATTAAAAGATTTAAGATAACACAATTTAATTTTTCCTTTCTTTATGAAAATATTTAGATTGGAAAATTGTAAATACAAATTTGCAATAACGGTATGTGTAAAGCTGATGTATTTGATGGGAACTCATAAATAATTAGGAGATTTGACTTTATTTACAATAATTCTTCTTGATAGTTTAAATAAATAGTTCTGACCGTTAAACCAAAGAAAATGCCTCAGGACAAACTAAAATGTCAAGTTCACGCAGCGTCTCATTTTGTTCTAGGAGATTTTCCTTTTCATTTTTCATCAGATTGTCAGAGTTATAACAAGTTATAAGTTCTAACAAGAGTTCTACTTTTTAAAAACAAAAAACATCGATTAATATAAAAATCACGAGCAAACGCGCACATGTATGCACCGAATGTCGAAAGTTCTATTTATTTTAAAATATATTGTATATAATTCTCATATACTTTTATACATACACATATATATGTATTCTAAAGAGATTTAATTACAAACAGTATTAAAAAGTTTCCATTATAATTTTTTTTGTCCGACATTTTTCTGGGGTGTTTTTGGGGTTTAATGGTCAGAATTATTTGTTTAAATTAACAAGAATTATAAAACTATTGAAAATAATGTTAGAATTTTTAATTACTTATGAATTTACATAAATTTTGATACGCCAGCTTTACATAATAACATATATTAAAATATAACAATATAATTACGAAAGAAAAACAAAAGCTTTATTAAAGAATTATGAAATATTATAATGCTTATAATATTTCTTTATATCTAAGCAAAATAATATATTTTTACTTATAATCTTAAATATTTACAATTTTTATTATGTTTTATAGCAGTTAGAATTACTGTGTTTATTAATATTATTAAAATGTTATTAAACTCATTTAATTTTTTTATTATAATTTATATACATATATCTAAGAATTTTTACAAAATTTTTTAAATATTTTTTTGTAGGTAACTTTGAAATATGATAAATTGATTTGTATGTCTTATTAATGTAGATTAATATTTGATTCCATATTTTTATCTATACTATACATAAATATATAGCTATAAAACAAAAGCTCTAATTTGGCAGATATTGAGTACGAAAAACGTAATTGATCGGCTACATTCGAACGTTATCGGACGGATATGACTATCCGTATATATTACGATGGTCTCTCCTAATTGGCTTATTAGTCGTGAAAGTCATAACCGAGTTAAATGACGAGGACTGTCCGGCAATGTTCTGATGTAGTAGATTGAAAGTTTGATCGACGGTTCGGTAGTGTCAGGGCCATCAACGATGGATATATCTCATCGATTCGCTGAACGGTCGTTGAAAAACGCGGTCACTTGTTCGATCCTGGTCTCGTTTTATTCTTCAGGATAGCTCGATGCTACGCACGAAGCGGCATTAACGCGGATTTGATTTCCATCGCGTCGTGCGCGGAAAAATTTCTGGCTATACCGATTTCGCGCGAACGACGAAATTTACAGGACATTCTGCCGCGCGCTCAGCATGTTTCGATAAAATTTAGAGCCGAATGACGACGAGAACGAATACGATCGTAGGCGACTATCGACGAAGCGAATTTTGAGCGCTGCTTAAATTTTAAATGGTAGACGAATATAAATTTAATGCTTAATTTTTCACAAGTGCAACGCTGAATTATCGACTTTTGTAATCGAATTTGTATTTGATTAATCTAATAATTCTTGAATCTTTGGCTTAAATAT